ACCGGGCGAGCGCAGCAGGGACAGCCGCGCGGGGTCGCCACGCGCCGGGGACGGGGAGCCGCGCAGGCCGCGCGCACACCGCAGGCCTGGAGACGACGAGGAGCGCAGGCGCCACCGGGAGAGCGACGGACCCGAGGGCGCAGAGCGGAGGCGGCGGCACCGGCACACGGGGGCCCCGGGCGCCTACGAGGGCGACGCGCGCAGGGAGGACAAGGAGCGCAGACACCGGCGCAGGAAGTGAGTGGCCCGGGCGGGCTCACACGGGGAGACCCTCCTGCCTCGGCTTCCGGAGTGCTGGCGCTGAGCCAGTCTTAAACCTTGCTATGGGTCTTCCCCATCGTGCCCCATTTCCTGGGGGGTTGGAGGGGTAACCTGGGAGGGCACATCACTCAAGCTCTCACATCCTTTTAGTTAATTTTTGTTTTTATTAGTACGTGCTTGTCGTGCGGAATGATGTTCACTTTCCGGGTGGGAGTGGGTGCATGTGTATAACGCCTCTTGTTCTTTTCACACCCTCTCTTCCCTGTCTTTTGATCTCTTTCCCATTTGTGTGCAAGTGGCAAACTCGGGTTGAACCCAGCAGCCCCCTCCAAATTTTTTTGAAAATCTGACTCCAGTTCGTGTGGCTGTGACATGCAAGGGCAGTCTCCCCACTTGTGCAAAGGCGCGAGGAAGTCCCCTGTGAGGCATAGCCCGTGGGTGCTCAGGGCTCATCCTCATTTTAGGAAGTCAGGGATACCAACATGCTTTCACGCTCTCCTCACCACCTTCCCAGAGCATCGGCCCAACAGGATATGAACTGGGGCGGCTGTTCCCAGCACATGAATTCTAGGGTACACTTTCCAGCCCCAGCACAACAGGCTTTCTGGGAAATGACCAAGAAATGGTGCCCAGGCCAGGGTCCAGAATTGGGCTTACACAAAGAGCTGTTGAGTCGCTGGGGAGATGGCTCAGTAGAATAAGTGCTTCCATGGCAAGCGCAAGGGCCTGAGTTCAATCCCTGGTTCCGCCAAAAAGAAAAAAAGAAAGAGCTGTTAAAATAGAGCACTGGGCTGCATGTGCTAAGGCCCTGGGGTCAGCTCAAGACAACCCTTTTGCAGGACATACAGAGGAAACAATGAAAGGGACCATGATACTAGGTTCCCAGGACCCTGCATCCCTCAGGGGAATAAGAGGCCCCTGGAGAAATTAAGGTAGACTGACAGGGCCTTCAATCTGACTGCGATTGTCATCCTTGTTATTGTGTCCATAGTGGTGATTGAAAGAGGCAGGACAGGGATGGAGTAGCTGTCCCTGATAAAGCACCACGAAGAGGTTTTGAAAGTGAACGGCCCAGGGGCTGGAGAGATGGCTCAGTGGTCTAAGGCACCTACTTAGAACAAGCTTAGCAAAGCATTAGGGACCGCGGTTCGATCCCCCAGCACCACATGCCAGCCCCGCCCCCTGGTGGGCTGAGCTGGCCACACACACCACACACACTCTCTCTTTGTCTCTCTGTCTCTCTCTCTCTCTCTCTCTCTCTCTCTCTCTCTCTCTCTCTCTCAAATAAATAAAAATTTAAAAAAAAATTTAAAAAAAAAGAAAGTGAACGGCCCAGCCCGGCTTGGATTCACAGCAGTCCTCCTGCCTCAGCCTTCTGAGTGCTGGGGTTGCAGGCGTGCTCCTCCATGACCCACTAAAGTGTCACTTTAGTAGTAATAACCCTTGTTAATCATCATCTATGACTCCAGTTAGTGAGATTCATAGGTAGACAGAAACACAGCCCTAGGTTGTTCACCCCAATTCCTTGCCTTTTGTAGATGGCAAAACTGAGATTCAGAAGTGGAGAGAATTTCCCCAAGGGCAGCAGCAAGCAGGAACTTAATAAGCCCCTGGCTTTCCCAGACCCCTGCTCCTCCTCCTCCTCTCCACAGGGGGGGATACAGCCCCCTACTTCCGGCCCCAGGCCCTCAGCAGGTCTGATCTGTTCAAAGCCGAGAAGCTACTTGGGGGATGGGGGTTCTGATCATCAACACCAGAAGACACCCTCTTCACCTGGTTGATCAAAAGAGAAAGTTCCAGAGCTGGGCGTGGTGGTGCATGTCTGTAAACCCAGCGCCCCAGAGGCTGAGGGAGCAGGATCGACCTGACCTCGAGGCCAGCCTGGGCTCCATGAGACCCTGTGTTATCTTGTGGATACTGAGGTGGCAAAAGTCCAGTGAGGACTCTTCCCATTTGTGTCCCCTCCCCCAAGTGCCCTGAACTCTCAGAGAGGCTTTGCTTCTCCTTTCTGGCCACATGGCATGAAATATTGGAGCCACTGAAGTACCAGGCTGCAGCCCGCCGTGGCTGCGATGGGCCTGCCAGGCTTCTGGGTGCTCCTGAATGTCAGCTCGGGGCAGCCCCAGAGTCTCTGCGTGGCTGCTCTTGTCCTGTGTTTTGTGGGCCTTCCCTGCTGTCCTTTCTGCACAGCCCCCGCCTCATCCCAACTGCTCAGCCTGCACCTGCCATACTGCCTTCCTTGGAACTGCGCCTTGCTGTGTGGGCTTGGGCAGAAACTCAGCTTCTCTGGGCTTCCGAGTTCTCGCCTATGAAACAGTGATGGCACGTTTGTCCCCAGTTACCCTCCAGGGATGGGTTCTGAGCCAAGTCCCTTCTGTAGACTGGCAGTCACACCTAAGACCACACGCATTGATGGAAATCTTTGGAACACACCATTTAGGGAATGATGACAAGAAGAAAAGAGCCAACTGGGTGTAATGGCACATGCCTGTGATCTCGCATATTCAGGAGGCTGAGGCAGGAGGATCGCAAGTTTAAACCCAGCCTGGGCAATTTATCTAGACCCTGTCTCAGAAAATAAAAGGAGGTAAAGATGGAGTTGCCCTGCGTTCCATCCCCAATACCAGAAGAAGGAAGAGACAAGGATTTACGGAAACCCTGCCAATAAAAGCCTGACACTCCAAGCAGGAGTGAACTGGGTCCATCCCCTTTTTATTTTTATAGGGTCTCACTACAGCACTTAAGTTCCCCAGGCTGGGCTTGAATTTGCGATCCTCCCGCCTCGGCCTCCCCAAGTGCTGGGATCACTAGCATGCCCACTATGCATGGCTGGATGTGTCCTCCTGTTGTCCACATTGCACCCACACAGGTCCCGCCGTGTCATTCCTGGACTCTAACTCCCTCTTCCCCTGTCCGCCTTCCACAGAGAGAACCAGGGCTCTGGGATGCCCGTGTCCGGCCCCAACCTGTCAACCACGCGGCCCATCCAGCAGGACCTGGGCCGCCAGGACCCGCCGCTGGCCGAGGACATCGACAACATGAGGAACAACAAGCTGGCCACCGGGGAGTCGGCGGGCCCCCACAACAGCCTGGGCCCCCCAGGGCTGCCCCAGAGCCCAGCCAAGATGGGGACCAGCATGGACCCCGGCCACATGCCCAACGCGCCCGCCATGGCCACCAACCCCCAGAACTCTGCCAGCCGCCGGATGCCCAACAACCCGGGGAACCCGGCTAACCCTGGGCCCCCCAAGGCCCCCGAAAACAGCCTTATCGTCACCAACCCCAGCAGCACCCAGAGCGACTCAGCCAAGACTGCCAGGAAGCCTGACCACACCACGGTGGACATGGCCCCCGCCTGCCCGCCGCCCCTCGATCACACGGTCGTGCAAGGTGAGGCTGCTGGGGCTCAGGCCACACTCCCCAGGGAGCCAGAAGCCCTCAAATCGGGGTACAGCAAGGTCCTCAGGTAGAAGCAGGGAGGACTGGAAGGGGCCCCTGGAGCCGGGCTGCAGGACACACACAGCACTTGCTATGCAGAGGGCGGGAGAATCAACGTGAGCCAGAGCAGTGGTGCACGCCTGCAACCCCAGGAACACAGGAGGCTGAGGCAGGAGGATCACGAGGTCAGGGGCAGCTTGGGCAACCAGACTTCAAAGAGGACTGAGAAGGAAGCCGGGCGGGGTGCTGCCGGCCTGTCATCACAGCCCGTGGGGGGCTGAGGCAGGAGGATTGAAAATTCCCGTCTCATCTGGACATCTTAGTGAGACCCTGCCTCAGAATGAAAAGGATTAGGTCTTAGTAAGATCTTGTCTCAAAGTTAAAATAAAGGTGTGGGGGTAGCTCTGTGACGGGGACCCCTGTGTTCAGTCTCTAGTACCACTGAAATAATACTCATAATGATAATATTCCACGAGGGTCCCAACCAAAACAGATGGTAGAGTGGTTAAGAGAAACATTCTGAGGCCAGGTGGCCCAGGTTCAAGTCCCTGCTATCCCTTCTACACTGTGTGACCTCAGGCAAGTTACTTCTCCATGTCTTAATTTCACTCATAAGGTATCAGTCAACCTTGGCCAGGAGTGTGGTAGAGGCTGAGACAGGAGAATGTCAAATTTGAGCCCAGCCTGAGTAAAACCCTGTCCCTGCCTCAAAATAAAAAATGAAGAGGGCTGGGTGTGTAGCTCAGTGTGAAGGCCTCATGTTCTATCCCTGTACTGCAAATAAAAGCCCCAGGAGGGTCCTGCGAGTACTGGCTGAGGAGCTTATGGTGCCCAGACCCTGGGCCATGTGTGGGGGTGAGCAGGAAGTCATGGCGGGAGTTTTGTTCTGCTCCCCACAGTGAATAAAAACGCCAACCCAGACCCACTGCCAAAAAAGGAGGAGGAGAAGAAGGAGGAGGAGGATGATGCTGCTGGGGAAGACGGCCCCAAGCCCATGCCACCCTACAGCTCCATGTTCATCCTGTCTACCACCAACCCGTGAGTGCTGTGTCAGGCAGGCGCCAAGCAGGGGCCGGGGAGGCCCCAAACAGCATTGCCCCAGAGAGGCCTGGAGCAGGGTAGAAATGACAGTCCTAGCCAGGCCTGGGGCACCATACCTGCCATCCTGGGTACTCTGGAGGCTGAGGCAGGAAAATCACAAATTGGAACACAGCTTGGACATTTTAGCAAGATCAATGCCTCAAAGTAAAATTTTAAAAATGGGCTGGGAGTGTGTGTGACTCTGTGGTAGAGCACTTGCCCAACATGCATCAGCCCTTAGGTTCAATACCCCGCACAACAGAAAATAAAAATGATTCTATCTTCAGCCACACAGGATGGAAATATGTCCTTAGACCTCATCAATATCAAATCTAGGAGCTGGGGAGATGGCTCAGTGGAATAAGTGCTTCCCTGGCAAGCACAAGGGCCTGAGTTCAATCCCCAGTTCCACAAAAAAGTCACTGCAATAGTGCCCTGAAGGCATTCGAGAAAAAAAAAAAAAAAAAAAAAAAAAAAAAAAAAAAAACTCTACACCATAATGTTAGGAGAAGTCTTTGTTTTTCTTTTCTGTCTTTTTGAGATAGGATTTCCCTTTGTAGTTCAAGCAGGCCTTGAACTCGCCCTGTAGCCCAGGCTGGCCTCAAACTCGGAGCAATCCTCCTGCCTCAGTCTCCTGAGTGCTGGGATTACAGGCATGTGCCACCACACCTGGAGAGAAATCCTTTTCAAAACGGCTTTGTGTTCTGTTCAGCCTACACGTGGCAGCCCTGTGCCCTGAGCTCCACTCTTAGCCTCTGCCCTGTAAGGTTTTGACTCTAGGCAGATGCTCTCTGTTTGGTGGCCTGCTTATTTGGGCATCCTGAAAAGATACTATTTAGGGGAGAATTGTATCCCAGGAATATCATGTTGACTCAGAGGTTCTTAGTATTGCAGTTTCCAAGAAAGAAAAAAGTACTTCCCAGAACCCTGATGTCTCAAAGTACTTTGGAGCCACGAAAACAGGAGAAAAGAATGACACTATGGGGTTGGTGCCACCCTTGTCCCTGTGTGAGGTATAGATCCCAAGAAGCCAGCATTCTTGGTGCTGGTTTGGCTGTTTGCTCTGTCTAACCTGGGCTTCCACACGTTGGCCAAGCACTCTTCCTCTGAGCTGCGGCCTGACCTGGGCTGCCCTATTCCTAGCCACCCAGCCCTGTGCCGTCTGCTTGACCTTATGACCTGTCTGTGTCCACTCCACTTGTGAGGCGAAGAATCACTGGGCATGGTGGCACACGCCTATCACCCCAGCACTTGGGAGGCTGAAGCAGGAGGATCACATGAGCTTAGGACCAGCCTGGGCTATGTAGCAAGACCCTATCTCTACAGAGCCAAAAATAAATAAAACAAAACAAGAATCATGGCATCTGCCTTAGTTACTTATCTCTTGTTAATGAGACAAAATTCCCAATGCCCAAAATTAAGGGAAGAAAGGTTTATTTGTGTAAATAGCCGCCCTAGGGCATGTCCTCCACACCCTTAAGCGGTGGAACTGCTAAATCAGTGAAGCCTCTGAATTTCCCTGATTGACACAAGCAATCAACTATCACAGCATCCAAGCCTTAAAGGCTCTGTCTGATCCAGCCTGCAGTCCAGTTTAAGTCTCTTAACATTTTAGAGCTTCCCACATGCCAGGCGTGCATCAACCCTTTTGGTCTTGTGGTCTGTGGCCACTTTATACATGAGGGCACAGAGAGGGTGCGTAACCTACCCCCCAGGTCACAAGGCTGTTTTTAAAAAAAGGAAGAGAGGGCTGGCCTGATAGCTCAGTGGACTAAAGCACCAGCTTAGGCAGAGAGCAGCAGCAAGGGTCACCCCTGGCATGCTGCGCCGCCCCCGCCCCCAGGGCGCGCTGAGACAGTGATTGAGACATGGCGTGGTGGTGCACACCTGTAATCCCAGCGCTTAAGGGCTGAAAACAGGAGAATCACTGAGTCCAATTTACATAGTAGACCCTGTCCTAAATACAGAAGAAAAAAGAAAAAAGAGTCAGGGAAGATGAACTGCTGGAGCCAGAGTTACCTGTGTGGATCGCCCCCTCAGGCTGCTCTGTGCATGGCAGCGGTTCTGTTTCCTGTAGGACCAGGGGTGTTTCCTCAGCCAGCTCGGCAGTCAGGATACCCCAGGAACCTGCTGGGCAGATAGGATGGGCTGTCTGATCTCTAGGATACACAGGGCCGGGCGGGTAGCCGCAGCGGGTAGAGCCCGTCCTGCATGGACCTGAGCCCTCTCGTGTCCCCACAGCCTGCGCCGCCTGTGCCATTACATTCTCAACCTGCGCTACTTCGAGATGTGCATCCTCATGGTCATCGCCATGAGTAGCATCGCGCTGGCAGCCGAGGACCCCGTGCAGCCCAACGCCCCGCGCAACAACGTGAGTTCTGCCTGGGCCCATTCTGCCTGGGCCCGGACCTCAAGGCCTCAGGCTGTCACGTGCGCTGGGGGGAGGGACGGGTGCCCAGGGGCAGAGGGAGCAAGACACAGCTCTGTCACCTACAGGGATGCCGGCGACTGGCCCAGTGCGCACAATGGCTGGGTTCTGTCCCCAGCATCACAAAATAAAACAAAAAAGAACTTTACACCGAGTGTGGTGGCGCACACCTGTCACCTGGTGCCCTGGGAAGCTGAGCACAGGACCACACATCCAGCCCTGTCTGGGCCACTTAACTTAGCGAGAACCTCTCTCCAAATAAGAAATAAAAAGGGCCAGGGATGGAGCGCAGTGCAGGGGTCCCAGCACTGAAGAAAAATAGAGGAAAAAAAGGAAGAACAGATGCGCAGCTGGACTCCAACACAGCAGCTTTACATGTGAGGGGACTGCTGACCTGTGCCCCAGGGGCAGGGGCCCAGCAGGCCTCTTCCTGCAGGGCCCAGCAGCACCCCCCTGAGGTAGGAGCATGACCCACAGCCCACTGTGTGCCTGGCACTGTGCTGAGCCCAAGGAGCCTCTGTGGGACCAGTCCTGTCCCTGTGGGGTTGACACTGAATAAGGAAGACAGATAAAGAGATTCTTATCAGACTCTCACCCAGCACTTGGGAGGTTGAGGCAGGAAGAACACTGTGGGTGAGGCCAGCCTGGGCTACAGAGTAAGACCCTGCCTCAAAATAATGAAAGAAAAGCAGATCGTCAACAGCTGTAACCACAGTGGGGCGGGAAGTGGTAGGTGCAGGTGCGAGGAGGTGCAGATTTAATGTAGAGAACGCAGAGGCATTTCAAACTGGTGGCCAGAGCGGGGCACAATGACAAAGTGGCATTGGATCTAAACCACAGGAGGAGGGTGTGGCTTCGCCAAGAAGGATGCCATCCTCTCGTGTCACTTCAGTCCACCAGAGCTTGGGGCAAATAAAAAGGTGTCCTCTGCATTGGTAAAGCCACCGCACTTGGCGATTTGGTGGGGATTGCCGCCCTCTGCTGGCTGCTGCTGTTCAGGACCAACAGCTCTGCCTCGGCAGAGGAGGGGCCGGTGGGGTCCCATGCAGTGCACGTTGCCAGCCTGTATGTGGTGGCTACCTTTGCTCTGAGTGCAAATCCCACTCCTTGGAGACTGCTGCTGCAGGGGGTGTTGCCAGGTTCTGCTGGAGCATGCCTGTGATCCTGTGTCCTCATCCTGTCCCCTGCAGGTGCTGCGGTACTTTGATTATGTTTTTACGGGCGTCTTTACCTTTGAGATGGTCATCAAGGTAAGTACAGAGAAAGCAGGGTGTGGGGTGAAAGCCTCTTCCTTCCCTGCAGTCTGGAAGGCTGAGGCAGGAGGATCGCAAATTTGAGCCCTGCTGGACAGCTAAGCAAAAACTAAATAAAAATCCACTAGGGAGACAACTCAGTGTGAAGACTCTGGGTCCAATCTCCATGACAAAAATTTTTACATAATGATAATAATTTCTAGTGGGTGGATTGAATGTGGATGGGTTGCACCCTGAAGTCTGGACTCAGGCCCGTCCTGCAAAATGGGGGCCCAATGGGACCCCCCCACCCCAGGGGAGCCACAGCCAAGGATAGGGGGAATCCCAGCACCCTCTCTTATGCCCCCATAGATGATCGACCTGGGACTCGTCCTGCACCAGGGCGCCTACTTTCGCGACCTCTGGAACATCCTTGACTTCATAGTGGTCAGTGGGGCCCTGGTGGCCTTTGCCTTCACGTAAGTCTCCATGGAGGGCCCCATATGAGGCCACTTGGGGTCAGGTTGGGGGATGTGTCCCTCCTTGGGTGCAAAGATGGGGTCATGGGCGCTAGGGTGGTGGAGACCAGAGTGCCCCTGGGACGAGCTCTGGCCAGCTTTGTGCATGCTCAGGCACTTAGGCTGGGAGGAGGTGCTCTCACTTCTGCCTCTACACACAGCAATGGCCTCACCATGTCACCGGCCATGCTGTGCGCTTTCCGGGACATCTCATCTCCCTTCTGCTCCACACCCTCTGCCCCACTGCTGTCTCTTTGGGGAGCCCCTAAAAAGACAACCAGGACATGAGTGTGCATGAAAATCCTGACCCCACCTTGTGCCAAAGGCCCTGTCATCAAAGCCCTGATGGCTTTCTGGCATATTTGTCATCTCCTCTCCTACCAGTCCTAGGTCACTTTGCCCTCTCAAGCTCATGTGTCACCACACAGCTCTAAGATGGTGCCCTAGTTGCAGGCGGTGGCTTCAGAATGGCACCCAAGAGTGGAACAGTCATTCCATAATGGTGCCCTGGAGCTAGTAGCCAAGCAGAACGGCATCTGAATCTGGGTGGCCATTCCAAAATGGCTTCTGAGTTCTGGCAAGTCATTTCAAGATGACACCTTAGGGCTTAAGCAGCCTTCTGAGGGGATGTCTGAGTTCTGGGCAGCAGTCTCAATGGCATCAATGTTCTAACTAGCCATTTCAAGATGGTACCCAAGAGGTGAGCTGCTAATGTAAAATGGCACCTGAGTTCTGGGAGACCGTTTCAAAACAGCACCCAGGTACTGGACAGCCGTTTCAAGATGGCCCCTTAGGGCTTAGCAGGCATGTGGAAGGGGTATCTGAGTCCTGGGCAGCCATTTCAGAATGACATCAAAGTTCTAAATTGCCATCTCAAATTGGTGCCTGTTAGCAAAGCATCCGTTCCAAGACGACACCCTAGGGCTCCGTAACTATTCCTCTGAGAGCCGGTCTCAGAATGGCAGCTGAGTTCTGGGCAGCCATTTCAAGGTGGTGCGTAAGAGCTGTTGAGCAGGGCTGGTGAGATGGCTCAGTGGTCTAAAGCACCTACTTAGAACAAGCTTAGCAAAGCACAGGGACCACAGTTCAATCCCCCAGCACCACATGCCAGCCAGCCCCGCCCCCTGGTGGGCTGAGCTGGCCACAAACACACACACACACATAAATAAATAAATTAATTTAAAAAAAAAAAAGAGCTGTTGAGCATCCTCCTCAAGATGGCACCTTGTTTCTGGTAGCCATTCCAAGAGGAACTGCGGGGCTTAGTAGCTCTTCCAGGCTCATGTCTGACTTCTGGGCAGCCATTTCAAGATGATGTCTGAATTCTGGACATCCTTTTGAAGGTGGTGCCCAAGGCTGAGCTGCTGTTCCAAGATGGTTCCCGAGTTTTGGGTGACCATTCCAGGGTGGTGTCAAGGGGCTAAGGTGCCATTAGCCCTTCAGGCCTGGTAGTGAGGTTAGCAGTACCTTTCCCACGTTGGAGACCTTTGTCACAGACTGAAAGGTGACAGGTTCAGAAGCAGAGCTTGAGGACTTAGCCTCATGAAGTCCACAGAGGCCTGTTGCATAAATCATTCCCAAAGAGAGGGTCTTGCTGGGAGCCTGACCCCACCGGGGAAAGTCCTAGGTCCCTCAGCAGACACGGAATCCAGAACAGTCTCCCCAACCCAACAGAGGGCTGGGATGGTGGCCCATTCCCAATGTCAGGGCTATACAAGGCCACCCCCCAGTGTCTCCCCTGGAAACACAGTGAGGCCAGGTCATGTTTGGCCAAGAACCCTCCAGGTTCCAGGGGATGGAAGGTAGGGGCGCACCGTGCAAGGGAGCAGCTAGTGTCTGTGACTGTCCCCTGCTCTCTCTCATTTTTTCACCTTTCTGCCACCCTTTCTTTTTCTTCTCCTCTCCCTGTCCACCTCTTTCTAAAGTAATTTTTCTTTGAAGTGCTCCTACATAATAACAAGTTGGGATGTCTAGCAACAGTGTCATGCTGATGGCTTTAGGAATCAGGTGTGGCGTGCACACCTGGCACCCAGTACTCTGGGAGGCTGACACTGGAGGCTCACAAGTTCAAGCCCAGCTTGGGCAATTCTAGATCTCAGTGGGTCAATTAACAAAGGATGTGAATGGCAACTTCATAGACCAGAGATAATAAAAAGGGGGCCCCAGACAAGGCAGCACATGCCTGCCTGGCTTCCCAGGAGGATCTCGAGTTCGAGGCCAGCCTGGACTGCAAGAGAAAGGGGCCTGGGGTCGACTTCTTTGGAACTCAGAGATGTGTAAAATAAAATTTAAAAAAAAACAGATACAGCATTTTTCTTATCAAGTGAGCGCTGGTTGGTTGATTGGTTGGCAGGTTGGTTGGTCTTGCTTTATTTTTGAGGTGGGGTCTTACTACATAGCCCAGGAGAGCCTGGAATTCGCAGTGACCCTCACACCTCTGCTGCAGAGTGCCAGGATGACTGTGCACTAGATTGTTTTTTGAAGAACTTTACAGAGTCCACAGTGCCTGTGAGAACAGGACGCAGGCTCCTCCTCTGCCTCTGTCTCAGTTACTATATATGGTAGCAAAATATTTCCTTTTTTATTTTTTATTTTATTGAGAAATAAATATGAATGAGACAGTTTCAAAGCTGAATAATAGGACAGTTTCGATAATCGATACATTGTACATTGTTATCTTCTTAGTGGTTATCCATTGTACAAGAAGCAGACAGGATATTCTGTCCAAATGCTATTAGTACACCTCTTTCTTCTCATTGAATTAAGCAAAAGTAATTGTATATCTATCCTAACTATTTTGTATATATAAATACTTTTTTTTTTTTTTTTTTTTTTTTGGTGGAACCAGGGGCTGGGACAAATACCTGACACCCAAAAAGAAGGAAGAAAAGGTTTATTTAGCTCATAGTTTGTGGAGGTTTCAGTCCATACTTAGTTGGCTCCAAGGCAGACTGGCACATGACAGAGGGCAGCAGTTCATGGTGGTGGAAGGCAGCAAAATGGCAAGAGCAAAAGGAAGGAGTAACAGCAACAGTGGCTACCGAGAGCAAGTCCACCTCCTTTATGTTGCATTTGGGCTTTCTGCCCCAGGCGGGTGCAGCACTCACACCCACAATCCCAGTGGGTCATGGGTTAAGCACAAACTCTAGAAGTCCACCCCATGACTGCATGAGGCTTTGAGGGGACAACTAGACACAAGCCATACCAGCCTCCTACCTGAGCGGGTCACTCAGACATCAGACAGGTGGCAGAGAAAATTTAATTTCTGAAGACAAAGCTGTTATCCCCTCAGCCTGGCGTGGACCCACCCTAGGAGGTCCTCGGTCCCCTCGCTGCTTGCTGTCTCTCCCCACTCACCCCAAGTCCTGGGTGGTGACCTTGGCCCATATGCTGAGAAAGGGACCCTACTGCCACCTGCCCTGCTGCCACCTCCACAGGGACCCTGGATTTGGGGACCTTCCAGGACCCCAGCTCTCAGCCTTTGAGCCTGTGCTCACATGAGCAGAGTTTACAACAGGCTCTGGAGATTTTTGGGTTTCTCTCTCTCTCTCTCTCTCTCTCTCTCTCTCTCTCTCTCTCTCTCTCTCTGCAGGAATTGAACCCAGTGCCTTTGCACTGAGCCTCATCCCCAACCCTTGTTTTTTTTTTTATGTTGAGACAGAGTCCTCTAAGGTGTCCAGGCTTGTCTCCAACTTGAAACCCTCCTGCTTTAGCCTCCCTGAGTGTACCAGCATCCCAAGAACAGCTTGCCTAGCACGTGTGGGGCCCAGGCTTCAAGCCCCAGCACCACAAAAAACGTTGAAATCAAGATCCATGAGGGAAAGGTTCCTTGTGTGACAAAACAGCCTGCCTGCGGGGCTGAGGTCTGCTGAGCTCCCTTCCAGCAGGGAGCAGGAACGCAGCCTGAGCGGAGGGTCTCGGGAACCCTCTGTGCCCACGCAGGCATCCCTTGCAGAGCACACCTTACAGTCACCAATGCACCGCGGGTCACTAGGTGAGGAGATACTTCCTCGTCAGTGGTTGGGCAGCCGCGTGGCGTGGCCACGCCCACCCCGGAAGTGGCTCAGCCGCAGGCGCCTAGTGCTCACTCCCTTGTACCAACCACTAACACCTTCCCTGGCCTCTCCCGTTGCTGCACAGTCTGTATCTTCCTACTTCTTCCGGTTTGCTCTTTAATTGATTTATACTTCGGGTTTCTCAAAAAACAGAAACCTTGCGATGCTTAATATTCGCTGCCTGATGCATTTCACTTAACCTTGAGGTCTCAAGGTGCATCCGTTCTCCTCCACACGATGCAGGTCTATCCTTCGTGGCATAGTAGCACAAAGTACTGCATTGGGGGTGAACATCACATCTTCACAAGTGATACCATCGTCTAGGGATGGCTTGCCCGAAATGGCTTTTTGTGGTGCTTCACTCTATAAAGTGATACAGAGAGACCCAAGAGCAGCCCACCCTGGGCATCACAGTGCACACTGTAACCAGCGCTCTAGGAGGAAGAGGCAGGAAGAATCACGAGATCCAGCCCAGCTTGGGCCACTTCACTTAGCAAGAGACCCTGTGTCAAAATAAAAGCATTTTAGAAAAGACTGAGGACATAGCTCATTGTGAAAGCCCAGGGTGCCACCAAGGGTTTGAAATCTACAGTTGGCAAGTGCCTGACAGCTGCTTTGCAGTGGATCCTGTAGCCCTTGCTCCCCACCTGGGGATGCCACAGGCTTGGACGTTCCTATTTGGAACGTTTTCCTTGTTGAAGGGAAGGCAGGGAGGGCTTTCAGCCACCCTGTGAACGTCTCAGGGCTCTGGGCTCTCTCAAGGAGGGGTGTGCATGTGTATTTTTCCAGTGGCCGCTTGGCCAGTGCCAGAACCTTCCCTGGGTTTGAAAGCAGGGAAGCTGTGGGGCCAGTGTGTGGCCAGGGCTGCCACTGCCCGGGTGCTGGGCTGCCTGGGTCCAGCCAGTC